TTAGGGCTAAGCTGCTCATGACAGTGAAGAGTGGTAGAACAAACAGGGTGTGAACCCAATCTGACTCTTGGCTTGGGCACGCTTTTCAGCAGGATCAAGTGTTACAACACTAACAGGCAGGCAAAGATCAGCTTCTAGTGCTGCCTGTCGAGACCACTCATTAAGCAGGCAAGAGGACCATGTCAGAGAAATGTGATGGGGGCGGCTCTACAAAGGACAATGAGGGGTAGAGAGAGTTAAGATCCTGTGAATAGCAGACTGAAAAGAAGGAAAAAAAGAAAACATACGGAATTTGAGATATCTCCACATTTGATAAGTCCAGCCGTCAGGAGAACTTTGGCCGCAAGCTTTTCATCGGTGTTGTTGGGGTCATCTTCCGGAGATGTAGCCCACTTGGTGGCCAAGCGCTTAAGTTCCTCGACTATTGGGAAATGTCGGCCCATGTCGGTAGCTAGGACCGCGCCAACCATGACTTGCCTGAATCCGGCGTGCCCGTCAATTACTTTTCCAAATCCATGCTCTCGTAGCATCCTTGTGAAAGTGATCCGATGGAAGTTTTCTAGTACAGCACCATCCGAGAATACATAGGCAATAGGGGTTCGAGCGTTAACCTGATCAGAATTGACCCAGCAAAAGGTTAGAATAGGAAGTGAGGCAGATGATTAACAACAAGGACTTGCCATGAATGCATTGCTAAGACCGGGATGGCCAACATCATGACCAGCAGCAGCTAAAAGGAGTGCCCAAACGGTCATCTCGTCTAATAGTGAGCCAGTACGTCCGACAGGTTGGCGTTCCCATGAAGCTGCATAACTGGAATCGGACTCCTTTTGTAGAACCCAGCCGAGGGGTGGGACGATGCCTTCGTGGGAGAGCATCGTGTAAACGGCTTGTACGACATCGACGGCATGGCGAAAGTTATGATACGCGTTCCGTTGGTCATAGGCTACTTCGAGGTTATCGACCAGGCTTTGGAGACATTGTTCAGGGTCCACAACGCCTAGGTCTGTGAGCAGTTGAGTGAAACCAGGAGTATACTCAAGATAGACGGAGAGCAATACATGAAGCGAACAGCGAATCTGAAGAGGGGAGAGTGAATTGGCGTCAAATGACCATGTGTTGAGGATACGGAGGAGTTGGAGGCGGGAAGCCGAGGGAGGAGGTTCCGAGATCACAGGAGGCAGGTTAGAGTGTTGAACTGGGGGCAAGGAGGGATGAGAGCGAGGAGTAGAAGGCCGAGGTTGGGATGAACAGGAGTCAGCTTGGTTGAGGTTGGGAAAGTAGCATGAGGATGCGGTTGAGTCTTGACTTTTGGCTTCTTCGACATCATCGGTCTCATTGTCCTCATCCTCATCTGTGGTGGTGGAGGTGGTAAAGCTTGAGAGAGAGGTGATTGAGACTTTATTGCGCAGAGCTTCAGGGACGGGAGAATTGCGGAGATTGAGGAATCGGTTAGGAAGAGATTCGGGGTTGGTTGAAGAAGGGATCGGATGGGGTGATGAGACGGTGAAGGAGTGCTGAAGAACGATTGAGAGGTGATGGGCAATCCTAAAAGTGTTTTGAAAGGGAGGCAAAAGAGAGTGTTAGGAGAGGTAGTAGTAGTAAGTAGGTGGATCTTGGGGGGTTGATAGATGAATGAGAGACTTGCCAATTGTCGCTGGTAGGGGCTTGAACCCCAGAGGCTTTGCCACCATCAGCGAGACCACATTCGCCGCCGATAACGATATCGTCAACGAAGCCAAGTGAGGAGGAAGGGTCGATGCCTAGTTCGTTGGCCCGCCTGGAGAGGTGTGAGGAGCTTTCCGAGTCGGCCAGTTGGGCGCCTGGGGTGGACATCCTGCGTAGGGTGCGGAGTTGGGGGGACTTGGTCTTGACGGAGAAGGGGCTGGCTTGGTCAGTCGGGCTGATGGGGAAGAGGTTGTTGTGAGCGGAGTGGGTGTTGGTTGATGGGTGGTGAGAGAGAGGCGAAGAGGAGGAGGAGGAGGAGGCCATGGGGTTAGGGCGAGGCGAATGAAGTGAGTTGGAGGGCGTGGGTGTGGTGGCAGTTGGGGTGGACGAGTCGGAGCGAGGGGATGGTCGGTTGGCGATTGGATGAGATTGAGGAGTGCGAAAGGACATGTGTGTGTGTGGATAGACGGGAGAGTAGCCCTGGGAGATTATGTAGAGTCGAGATCGTGGGTAGAACCGGGGAGTGAGCGGGGAAGATGGTTTGACAGCCGATAGATCAACCAATCCGAGCCATCAAGTCGACGGGGTTGGCAGATGAGAGCTGGGGCAGTCAACGAGCCACCGGCGAGAAGATCAAAAAAGAGGGAAGGAGGAAAGAAAAAAAAAAAAAAAAAGAAAAAACGTGGGGGTTTAGTTGGGGAGGGGCGTGGTTGGTGGTGGTGGTTGTTGTTGTTGTTGTGGTTGGCTGTGGTTGGGCTGACTGAAGCCAAGCCGGGGGGGAGGAAATGGATCAGGATATATGCGGAGGATGAGTATGTACATATATTATGTACATACACCGCCGGACCCGGTGCAGCTTCAAAACGAAACAAAACAAAAGCGTTCCTCAAACGTCGCTCAACCTTCCGCCGCGCTCAGAAATATTACCTCGAAAGATCTGGTTGGTTAAGACAACGTCTTGACGACCGTTTATAATTGACACGTTGACGTTCACCACGGATAAAGCAATTCGGGAATCTGTTTCCGATTGACAACCAATTCGAATTCGGTTGGTGTTCTCCAGCTCATTATAAAATCAAAAAAAAAACTAGCCCAAACGTCAAGCTGCTGAAAGTTCGATTATGATCATATATTCGTTCATGGAAAAATGCTTTTTTGAGATCTCTGACCCAGGAATGTTTGAGGTTCAGAAAATCACTCTCAAACGGCATTCTGGGCGAATTTTGGCTTGTCAACCTCTAATACTTGGGTCACATAACTTATCATGGAGAGCTTTGGGTAGAGAGTTTTGAAATTCATCCATTATCATGATGGAACCTTCAGCCAGTCCAATTTGGGACTAGTAGCAGCGGTTGATGAGCCAAACTTCCCCAAAAATACCATTTTTAGGCAGTGTTCTCAAATTGATAACACATACAATGGCCAGGCCTGTCAAAAAGAAGAAAAAAAATGTAGAATTCAATTTCCCATGTATTGTATATGATCATCATAATGGAACTTTCAGCTTGAGATTTGGGCTGTTTTTATATTAGTGATGGCTGTTAATTATCAGCCAAACCCCTTATACTCAACTGCCAATATTTGCATCATCATTTTTCATATCAAGTTGCCTTAATATTATCACTTCAAATGGATCCATGCAAACACTCAAATCTTTCAAAAGGTTCATCTCAAAATATTGTCAAAAGTGCAAGCACTATATGAGAAACCACTACACCATCACTTTGGACCACTATATATATATGCAGGGAAAGTACATAATCTTTTCAGTGTATAACCTGCTCGTCAAGGGGTGTTGCCTTTCTCCAAGCAGGCTATTATTAACCTGCTTGGCAAAAGGCAAGACCCATTGCCAATCTCACCAGGCAGGTGTATTAACTCTGACTCCCATTTCCAAAAAAAAAAAAAAAAAAACATTTTGAAATTGGGATGTCAACTGCCATTTCTGGAGTCAGAATTTGTCAGCTATGTGTATGAAACTTTGGCTTAATTAATATAAAAGCCAAGTACTATCACTGTGCTGAAGGACTAGTTTAAAGACCAAGATTACTCCAAGTCACCCTCAAAGTATTAAGTGGTCCAAACTTCCCACTTATAGAGGTTCAAAGTCCACACTCCTCAGTTGATGACACTTTGAATAATCATTAAAGGAGCACTGTAGGAGACAATAACAGAATATGTTATTGCAGATTGTTTGGAAGCAATAATTAATATTGCAAGAAGTAGTTGGCAAGCACCTGAGCTGAAAGGCTACAGTCAGAGGTGGTGGTCTTGAAGCAACTACTTTTTAAGGAATTAGTTAATTTTTGAGTCTGGGATACCTCTTAGCTCAATAATAATTCCAGTAAGAAGGTAGTGTTGGATTGGATAAAAAGCCTACTCTAAAAGTAGGTGGAGAATATTCACTGTACTTACTAAGTGCACTGGGGGTGAATATGCTGAGGAACCAATCCTAGACAGGAGATTTCCTCCTTAAATATTCTAGTGGTCCCCTTGAGGCCCATCTTGGAATATTCTAGAATCTCTCTTTAGTGTACTATGTAGAGATTGTTCGTTCGGACCTGGGTACCTGTTTATACCTAGGTACCTGTTCATTTTTTCAAGAAAATAGATACCATGTACCGCACCAGACACCTCCCGGGGGTACCCAAGGTACCCGTTGCAGGTACCTCAGGTACCCCCCCTCTCTTTTTCACCTAGTTTCACTCCCAGAGTCCCAAGTCACTTTATTATTATTATTATTATTTCATATTTATTGTAAAATATCACTCAGAAGTCACTTTTTTGGCATTTTTTTAATATCTGTTGTAATATATCTACATCTAATTGGAAGAATCTTACTTTTCTATTTTTTTCATATTTATTGTAAAACATCAGTCCCAGATCACTTTTTTCATTTGTTCATATTTAATAATTTATTGAAAAGTTGAAACTATCTACAACTTATAACTAATTGGAAGAATCTTCATTGTCATCCAAAACCATCACCTTCCTTTTTGATTTTTTGTTAGACTTCTTGTTATCCTTGAGTCCCTGTTTCCATGCAGCCAAGGTACCTTCTTGGATCTTGGAGTTCTTGGAGTAGAAGGCCACCATCATTTTGATTTTTGGTAGGGAAGTGAGGGGGTACCTGTAGAGGTACCTGGGTACCTGTTCAATTTTTCACAAAAATAGGTACCAAGTACCGCACCTGGCACCTCCTGGCAGGTGCGGGGCGGGTGCGAGGGGTACCCCCCAGGAGGTACCAGGTACCTGCAAAAAGTACGGACGAACAATCTCTAGTACTATGGTAGAATTATTACCCTGATGTAATGGGAATAATTCAAGGTATTTCAAATAAAGTATATTCCAATTCCCATGACATCATGATGCATATCTGTAGCCAATTAGAATATGTGTCTTCTTAAAATAGAATAATACTTGTAGAAATTGCCACACTCTTGACATAGTGTGGTAATTTCTTTTCTGCAAGTTTAACACTTTGATTATGCTTCTAGAATAAAATTGCCAAGGTTACCTTAAATTTATATTTAACCCTAATTCAATATACATTAATTTTATTCTATAGATTTGTATATCTTATTCCTTTTGTCCTTCATTGTTTTGAATGTATACAAAGTCCTTGAAGCTGTAGGAATTTGGGGATACTTCCAGTAGACAACCCCATTTATAATCTTGTGAAATACTGTTTTATTGAATAATATCGTTACATATTGTATTACATATTGAGTATTTAACATCTAATATTCATTATTTTAGCAGTCTTTTGGATACTATGGAGTATTTCTATGGCTGACAGAATTAGTCCAACAACTACCAGGACCAAGATTGGATTCCAGAAGTGGTCCTCTTGCAGACATCCCATAGAATTTGGGAGTTGTTGACTAATTTTGGGGAGCTGTTTAACTAACCCCCCCCCGAAAAAAATTGTTTCCATGATACAGAAGTTCCCAGAAAGCTTGTGTTTGCCAGCTCCTGGGAACCTGTTTTATTTTTTATTTCTTACACCTCACAGCCTGTACACATGACTGTACAGTGGGTGGACCGTTATTTTTGGCTGCTTGTTTTGGATTCCAGAGGTTCAAAGCACAAACTTCAAGTCACAAGGCTTGGTGAATTGGTGCAGAATAGGTCCCAAAGAATGAATATGAAAAAATAAAAACAAAAAACAAAGTTTCAAAATTTGTGAAAATTAAAAAATAAAAATGTTTTTTTCCAAAGGCTTTGTTTCTGATTTTGGGGGAGTGGGAGTGCTGAGAGAAAGAAAGAGCTCGGAACATGGCAAGAATGATTATAAATGATAAAAAATGGGTCCCAGAAAAGGAGTGAGCCAGGTTGGCTGTCCAGATTGGATCTCAAAACAGTAAATTCTAGTGCTTTACTACAATGTGAGCTGGTGAATGCCCTACTCAACAGCTGTTTAAAACCAACTGGTAACCATTTTTTTAGAATTTTCATTTATAATCATTCTTCCCATTGGAAATTCTTTCTTTCTTCCAGCACTCACACTCCCCCAAAATGAATATTAATGCTTTTGGAATTTTTTTTTTTTAATTTTCACAGATTTTGAAACTTTGTTTTTTGTTTTTATTTTTTCATATTCATTCTTTGGGACCTATTCTGCACCACTTCACAAATTCTTGTGACTTCAAGTTTGTGCTTTGAAACTCTGGAATCCAAAACAAGCAGCCAAAAATAACGGTCCACCCACTGTACAGGTTGCAATTCCATTACCAAGGTCTTGTTTGGGTTCTGGCAACCTGGTAGATGCCCAGTGGGGGCCAGGCATGGTGCTATGGGAAGGCAGTTTCCCACTCAAAAAATTGAGAGGATTCTGATGGTCCAACTCCTTACTTCTCAACTCAAAAAGTGTGGGAGTTGGACCTCAATGCCTGGAAGAATGTCACTGTACAGGGCCAGATACAGGACAAAAAGGCACAATAAAAATTGGGATCCCAGGAGCTTGCAACAGGACCCTAGCAAGCACTCCAAAATGTGGGTAATGTAGACCCAGATGAACAAAAACCCAACTTGACTTTCAACCATACATGTAACTGGGATCATTCCAAAATGGCAAAATGTACAAGGAAAAGGTGCACAAAATTCATATTTTTTTTCTGGTTTTTGGCTTCTCAAGGGTCACTGGTGTGCCTTCATGATCAATGAATACATGTACAAGATGCATCTTTTTTGTTGTACATACATGTCCTGATGTGAAAACCATCCCAATTTGATGCATGGTTGAAAGTCAAGTTGGATTTTCAAGACTTGTTTACATTGCAATATAAGACTAGATTCCCTCATTTTCCTTCAGCTTTCTTATAGGTACCTCCACACCAACAACACTTGTAATGCATTGGGGTGCCAGAGGTATTGTGAAAATCCAAGAGTTGCAATCAGTTGTGGCCCCTCGGTTGCATTAGAAAAAGACATGACATTCAAAAATCACTTACTTCACCATCTGCAAAGACCCAGGGATGAAAGTAGTCCTCCACATTGTCAACATTGGCATCCACTTCTTTGCGGCCTTGAGACTTGTGTCTTTTCACAACCCTTGAGTTGTCCTTGTCTGAGTCTTGGGTCATGTCCATTATTGTCTGATCCTGATCTGAGTCGGCTTGCAAGTTGTCCACCTTGGCACAACATTTTCTCTTCTGAGGCTGGGATGTGGCTGATGGCTGAGACTTCCTGTGTGGTCTTGAAGATCTTGTGCCTTGAGATTCAGACACACTGCGGCGGTGGGCTGAAGTTGGAGCCTCAGGTACAGATTTTTGAAAGTCACCACTAGTTTGATATGCAGGTAGAATGCCAGGCCAGAGTGTTCAGGTTTGTTGAATCCCAAGAATTCCCTCTGGAGGGGGTCTGGGGAACGGAAGAAGTGGACATGATCTTCAGATGGAGGGGGTGATCAGATAATTCTGAGCCAGAGAGTCCCACAAAATCACAAGCAGTCCTAAGTGGCATGGAATGACAAGCACTCCCACAAAATCACAAGCCGTCCGACAAAATCACAAGCCTTCCAACAAACTCACGAGCCATCCAATAAAATCACAAGTGGTGACAGCACCCCAATTTTTTGTTTATTCACACAATTTACAAAGAAAAAAATAGCTTATTGTTTAGTCACTGAATTGACCAAAAATGCAAAGAAAAGAAATGCCTTGGGGACTATGAGAGTATAAAAATAAGACTATTCCAAAATGTACTGTTTAGTAAATATACCCAAAAAATAAACAAAGGGGCTTGGAAAAACGACTCCTAAAAATTAGTCGACGACTCCCGTTTTGGTCGGGAGGTCGTCGAACGGGAGTCGTTCTTCCAATTCCCCCCCTAAAAAAGGGGAGTCGTCGTCCTAATTTCAATGGCGATTTTTTGATTTTTTTTATTAAAAAAATGGGAGTCGCCCGCCTAAAGGGCGGGAGTCGTCGTACCAATTTAGCCAAATTTTTTTTAT